TGGTTTTGGTTCAGGTAAAGGGAGACAGCTTTTTCGCGCGAAGTATTAACGGAATAAACGAGGGAATGGATGTCAAGCGAGTGATTGTCCAGCGGCTCATGCAATGCAAGAGGACACCACAACAGCCAGATTTCAAGACATACAAAAAGGTGGCCTATCTTTTTGTCGTCATTATCATTACTTTATTCGCCAACTCCTATGGCCTCCGATTTCGGCAATACATATGCGGCCGTTTCTACCCGCGCCGGATACCCATCCGTGCCGTTTGGCTCTATAATAATATTCTGGGCCGAAGGGGAAGTATATTTGACTTCTGGAGGAAACAGATGCATCAGAAAGTGTTTGGAGAGTCGGGCCAACAGATCACGCTATTTGAGCGGTTGTGCCATCAGTTCAGATACGTGCGAATCGTGGCCACTGTGTTAGGCCTTTACGGTCACCACAAGTACTGCATAATCTGCGGCCGCAAAGTGCGGGTCGACCACTCAGATCAGTCCTATCTGTGCGCAAACAATTGCGGGTCTTATTATTGCTTCGAGTGCTTCGGTGACCAAAATAACATGTGTAAGGCGTGTATGAATCCCATTGATTACGCAAACATCGGTCACATCAGCGAAGAGATGGACTCCAGTGAGGAAGACATCGCTCATACCCTTCAGAACGACGACTATCTCTATCAATACGAGGAGCAGAACGCTATACGAGTGAACAAAATAGTGCAACAATTGGATGAATACGACCCCAGAGCTCACCGGCGAAGGGATTTGGTTTCGTTAGCCTATGATTACGACACTATCGATAAAATCCCGTCTCATGTGTATATCGTGGACGAGGACATGGATTATAATGCGGACGACGAGTCGGAACACATTGAAAGCTATGACCGGTATTTGTTTCCATTGGAACAGGAGTTGAAAATACCAGCCGAAGAAATACTTAGGATGAAAGTCAGGGCCGAGGAGTTAGTGAAGCGAGGGATGACTGAAAGTGTGACGAATAGAGCCAAAGAGGAACGGTATTCGCAGGTTAAGCGCGAAGACGACGAGAGATTAGTGAGAAATGCAATGATTTTCGTTAATAAGGATCGAGAGATCCATAAAAACAAATCTGAATCCAAACGAAATGTTTAATTATTATATAATTTATAGATTTATTTATAGATTTTTATCTTATTTTTCATTATATTTTGTTTATTTTATAAATGTGTCTAAAATATACTATAATTATAATCACAAAAATTTTGTTCATCTATTGATATTACCGTATATTTAATAAAATATTTCGACAAATATTACTAATTAAGTCTAAAATCATAGAAAATAATAAATAAAATCAATACAATTGCCGCAAATAAAACGGATTAGAATAGTACTGTCGCTTTAATTATGCAATATTTTCAGTTAAATGTTTGTAAATCTAATTACAGTACAGTATATAATAAATTAAATAAATTTAACTTAAATATCAAAATTGTTTGTACAATCAATTGATCTTAATTTATGTGAACCATAACTATTAAATTAAAAACTAAAACTCAATCACAAAACAAAGGAAAACCAAAACTAAACTATTTATAAGTAATTTTCGGTCAAATAATCCAATCATTTACCGCATATTAAAAATATATAAATTAATTAAAAATAAAACAAATTATTTCTAACGATTAGAACTACAAGTAAATGATCGGAAAACTAACGAAAAAACTAAATTAGGAAATGAATTGTGAGCTAAAAATGCGAGAAAGAGCTGAAAAATTAGGACAATATTACGAAAAAGGGTTAAACCGTATATAAAAGATCACATTATCAAACACTGGCCCGGATTCTCGCCATTCAAACCGGGAATATCTGGAAGTTTAAGGTCCGGCGGGAGACCAGTGGCGAAGTCGGGCACATCGCCGATGAGTTGAGTGGGAGGGGACCCGCAGTTCTGCATCGCTTGCATTACAGATAATATCCTCTGAAACCTCTCCTTCTTGACGGACTCACTGTCTTCTGGTTTCTCGGCATCGAATTCATTGCAAACCTCTTTCATGAGTTCCATCTGTTTTGTGTAGCGCTTCAGGTCTTCAGCCGACAGACTGTCTTTGTTTTCACTCAAATATATCGGATACTAATCAATAGATTCAAAAGCGATGTCAAACTTCATGACAAGTAATCTCTTCACTCATTCATACCTTTTCGGCCAATTCAGAGAGCGCTGGATATAAGAGTTCTTTGGATAACAGGTTTTGCATCATATTTGTCATCAATGGCACCAAATTTGTGAAACTGTTAGCGCCGGTGTCCTCCTCGTCGCCACCCATTCCTAAATTGGACCAAATTTTGGCCAATTCTTCCTCCGACAGGTTGTTCTCCTGTCCGACCACTGTCTGTGCCTTTTCTGATATGGTCTTCAGGGTCTCCTGCAGTGAGTTCTGGAACTCCTCATCACTCGTGGCGCTCGCTATACATATCACACATAAATCACATGACAATTAAAATATAGTTCGCGAGAGAGAGAGCGAGAGAGAGAGAGAGAGAGAGAGAACGAGAGAGTGAGAGAGAGAGAGACGTTTGATACCGGCGTCGGCACACGACTGCGTGAGACGAGTCCAGTGCTCTTTGAGCTGTGGATCCGAATTAATTAACGGCGAAAACATTTCATCAAATTTAGCGAAATCTGTGTTCAGGTTCTCTTCGAAGGCGTCGGTCACCAAATCGGGTCCACTCGTGGATGTGGTGGTCGTGTCATTGGCTGTCGAAGTGGTCGCTCGGCTCTCACCCGATGGACACGCCGTCTGCACTTCACTTGTCTTCACGGGTTTGGTCTTAATGTCAAAGTCATTGAGTGCACCTATAGGTCACACATACAGCACATTAGATATCAATTAATGGTGACATGTCTTCAACAACAAGTCATCTCTGGAGGAAAACTATGGAAGACTTTGAGAGCGGATCTCAATTGGGTTCACATAATTGTGGCGACACTTCAATGGATTCACAAGACATCACATATTCAATGACAGATCCACTCATATCACTGTCATATGAAACCCGATAATGAGATCCCCTCTGAAGATGTCAATTATCTGGTGAATGGCGTGAAGACGAGTGCAACCCATATGAGTGTCTGTCCTATGGTTTGGTCTAAACTACGGCTAATTGAGTGACAAATACGCGACAAATGATAGAGAAATGTATGAAAGGGTCGGAAAAACCCACAAAAGTCTCGCAATCCTTGTCTCAAATCACATCCAAACCAATACTTACTGTCGAGTAATGACGACAACTCTTCGTCCACTTCGCCATCAGTTACCTCTTGACTAGTCTTTCCGTTGTCTTCATTGGTGGACATAATTTGGTGACAATTATCTTCACTTTCAGATCAACTTCTCGAGCGTTTCAGTGGTGTATGGTTTGTGTCAACGATTGCATCAAACCGTCACAACAATAGTGTTATTGTTTACACACTCTCTGCACAATCACTGCTCCCTTTACTCCCCTCTCCACACAAACCTATAGTGTATTTCAATGCATAAACCCCTCAATCATTCATTTGATTACTCCCTTCAAAACGTGTCACAGTATTCACTAATTTTGATTCATTTATGAATAACGTTACAATTATGTGAATGTTTAAAACCCTGTAACTTTTGATAATTCATTTTAAGATATAAATTTGATTAAGAAAATTATGAATTGCCATTAATAATTTAATACACAAGTAGCCTACGAAACGTAAGTATTTTAAATGTATGCATCACACATTTAGTTAAAACTAAACTAAATTTACAAACCACTGCCCCCTTCGCAACATAATTCATAACAATTTATACATAAATAACGACTAAATCGGTGCCAAAAAACGCGTGACTCGTGTGGACGTAATGCTAATGCAATGAACGGCCAATCAATACACAAATGAAACGACAATTGAAACGGCATTTAAATCGGCGGCAAAAACACAACACAAAAAACTTCTGTTAATTAGTAATCATTTATTTTTAAATACTTCTCATGACATACAAAACAATTGTCGGAAAATGAGACAAAAACAATCGCAAAAAGCGCACAAATGGGTGGACCAGACACTGATGTCCATGTCTTAGGCCTTTTCCGCCTTTTCCTTTTGCTGTTTGCCTTTCTTTCCCTTCTGGCCCTCCTGTTGGGCCTCCTGTTCCGCCTCCTGTTCGGCGTCGTCCGCTTTCGTGGTTCGCGTGTATATCGTCTGCGAGTGATGTTTAATAACCTGACGGATGAGTCCCTTCTCGTGCAGCTCCAACAGCGCCTTCCGGGCCAACGACCCCCTGATCTTCAGCCGCTCGGACACGACGGATGGGGTGATGAGCTTATAGGAGGGCACCTCCTTCACGAACTTGTCGTACGTGCCCTTATCGAAAAGGACCA